AAGCCACCCCATAGGCTAAGGTTACTAGGCTGGAACGTTGAGAAAAACATACTAATAAAGTGACAGGTCTTTATTTGTTAGACCAAACGTATTGTGAAATCAACTCTCAACAGTTACCTAGCAAGTATTGTGGATAAGAACTGCTAATGAGCAATGCGTAAATACAATCACTTAGTATATGACTTAAAAAATTATTGTTATGATAAGCTGCTTGTTACCTAACAGAATGTAAGCAAATAAAATAGTCCTTATCATCAATTTCATTTAACAATTAGCCACATCTGCATGTTATGCTAAGGAATTCTCCAATACAGAGGCTGTGTTTGTATTCGTCACAAACCACCCCAGCCTTCAACCATTTGAGGATAGGATGAAACAGATGACAGTTCTAACAAATATATTAGATCGACTTGTCAGCCTCACGCCTTTTATCAGTTTGAACAATCATATCAAAAGGTTATTTTTTTTGAAAGGACTCAAACTCATAGGCCTTTGTTTGAGACTTTCTCATGCAAAGTAGACAAAATAATTGTTTACTACCTCCTCACCCACATAAGGTTTGAAAGTAGTAAGAACCAAACAGTAGTTTTCCTCATCTACATGAATGAAACCGGTGCTATATTTTGTTACCATTATCGAATCAATTGATATGTCAAATGCAACTGTCATAACAGAGCGTGATGCTTTTAAATACAATCCACAATAATCGTCCGCATCCATATTCTAGATATATGTAAACAAATGACAAAATAGATTTAGATAGATACATAAAATAGTAAAATGCAACAATATTAAGAAGTAATAATTAACTTCGGTTATGGTTGTCGTTTGTGAAAGTCGTTGGTGATAGCCTCGGTGATCACCGCTGGTTTTGAAGTCGGTGGTGGTATTGTTTATCACCGTCGGATCAGCGTTCTATCCGGCGGTGTTGTCGTTTATCTTCACCTCCACGTCAGAGTTCAATCCAGCGACAATCGGTCGCATACCACTGCCGGTTTGGCAAACGATCCGGCGCTGACGACGAAAACATCAATATCGGTTGGGCGTACCATCCAGCGGCGATGAATGAGACATCAACGTCGGTCCAGGTTATGATCCAGTGTAGATGTAAGTATCAGTACCGCTGGTCGGCGTTCGATCCAACGGTGTCGATGGCACTATCAACGTCGGTCTGGCGTACTATCCAGTGGTGATGTCCTGTCCATCACCGCCGTGCTTGTGTTTGATCCGTTCTATTGTCTGTCACCGCTGGTGTTACATTTTTTTACGGTGTTGTCACTATCATCACCACCGGTTGTTTTCATATCACCGAAAATTTGGATAGGCCATCAGTGATATTTTATTTTTCATAATACAATTGTAATATATCATAATAGTAACACAAATATTATTTGGATTAGACCAGAGCCAGGTCATATATATACACAATGTATCAAAATATACATCACAGCCAAGACAGTTCCATAAAACAAATCCAACCACAATGACATATGCTTGAGAACACAAACAAAGAAATCGGCATTACAAGTGAAGAAGATTAGCACCTTCGTTAGATAAGGCAATGGTCTCCATCCGGATTCACGACTTGGTCCATAATGAAACTAGCACGGTTCTCTTGCAACTCATATATATATATATATATATATATATATATATATATATATATATATATCCAAATAATCGGTCAACTCCTGTTGTACTTGACCTTAATTTCTGCAACACAAGAAAAAGGTGAAACACAGTTAAGGCATGTATTGCTAGCTATACACTCAAAATTAAGTCGCTAGATCATCAATTGACTATAAAGGGAAACAAGTTGTGACCCGGAGTAGTCATATCTTGGATGAGGGTGCGCATGTAATGCATGACATACTGCATTAATTCAGCCCAAGGGCTGCATTGCGATCAAATCGGTCTCAAGTACAGTGAACACAAAATTCCAAAACGGTCGATATTTTCTTGCTCTTTTTTATTGTACTTCCCAAAGACATGTGACAAGCACAAGCTCATGAGAGTGACATATAATGATCAAAGCTAACAATAATATAATATTTTGTCCAATATGGGAGTAGTAGCTTGTCTTACTTGTTCAGCGTAACAAGTATTGGATATGCTCTAGCGGTCTCCTTCGAGAGTCGAAAACGGTGAGAGTGCATTTCTCTAGGTTGAAGTAAAAAAGGATATAATGATTGCCGCATTCACAACGTCCTGATGAGAATTAGGCTCAACCATTAAATATGTAATGAACTAGAAAATTAGGCATTTACAACACACTTGGAGCTATAGGCTAGAAGTATGGTGGATTTGGCTTGTTGGGCAAGCAAGCCCTTTCTCAAATTTGTGGCGCTATATATTGTCATGTATTGTCTTCTCATTGTACATCACTGGGTTTAAGAAACCCTTATGTTTAATCCTTCTCAGCCTGCATGTGCATACCTCTATCCTACAAAACAATTGTGTAGTTAGACATTCACCTCCGTGTTGTAAAATAATGCATTTATTAGCGAAACTGACATGGCCCACAATCTGATATGACTGCCAAGGGCGAACTTTTGATAAAATTGATACAATTCCTTAAACTCAATCGATGACACCAATTGCCTCCACGGGTTGTCCTACATTGTCCTTGACTAACCATTGCCGCCTGCACAACTCAGGCTATAAGATTCTTCCCAAAAAGAGTTGTCTCATCTATGAATATGCACGTGGATGGATTACCTCCTTGTCTTTTTACTCGAGGTTGAGGAATGATAACAGCAACCCTTAGCCGCTACTATTTCGTTCGCAGTGTCAATCACACCATCATCGTTCCAACCATTTCCTCAATGACGAGAACTGTACCAGGTATGATAAAAAAAAGAACTGTACCAGGTAAATCATCTCTTTATTTGGTTGTATAAGTCCTAATAAAAAACAGTAAATCATCCCTTTATTTGGTTGTATAAGTCCTAATAAAAAACAATGGTGCGAACTCATTATTCAAACAGAGCTTCATCAATGAATTCAATGGCAACAGTACACACCATTTCCTCCAGAGTAGCGGCCTGTTCAGGAGGTCGTATCGTATCGTGGATTATTTACTGCTGGCTGGTTTGGTGTGAGAGAAAAATACTGTTCTCGGCTGAAAATTTATGATCGTTTACGAGCAAGCGAACAGGTTGTAGGAGGCTCCCACGCACAAATTTCAATTTTTTTTTCCAAATGAGGCAACCCTATTTCCATTATAGCATAACGAAAATTTAAAAGATTGTTCAGATCAGCAAAACAGAAAGAAAGAACCAACGGAAAAGACTTAAACGAACAAGTACTGCAATGGACCATACAACTCTAGAAAATACCAGCTACATTTACTTTAAGTTTGTACAACCCAAATTAACAATTCGAGAACATTCACAATATTCCAAAAAGAAATTAAAATTAAATGCACAATTCGACAGAGCAGACCTAATTTTATTCACATTTAGAGCTCACTGTGCGGGATGGTGAGCGGGTAGCCGGACGCGAGCGGCACGAGGTCGAGCCAGTGGATGGGACGACAGCCAGCAAGAGGGAGGTCGACGGCCATCGGCCGTGATGGCGGGCAGCAAGAGGGAGGGAGACACATAGCGGGTGGGCCGGGGGTGGTACCTAGCGCACCTAGCTAGACAGCGATTCAAGCAGGTTAGGAGGCAATTAGATGATAAACATGAGGGTGACACCTAGTGCCCAGGCAAACCTTGCTTCTTTAAACAGTGCAAGTGACATGCTATAGCTCAAATTTAACCTAAGGAGAGGAGGAGGGGGATATAGAGAACAGTTTTCTAAATTTGTGTATCCCAGTCAAAATTGTTGCCCTTTCTTTTAGTGAAGTTATTGCACCTGGTCACCACTTACCAGCAGCTGCATTGCCAGCAACCGAACACACAATGTTCCTGTAAACAAAATCTAACATCAAAACTGGAACTGTTGTTGTAAACTGGCAAGTCCTTGCCCTTTCTTAGTTGCATAGCTTATTTTAAGATCCTCAACCATTCGTGTTCTAATTGGAGAGCCACATTTACCTTGGCCACCTGAAGCCACTTTCCAGTGAGACATGTTTATATCTAGCACTCAAAATCTTCATTCTAAAATAGCATGATTATAAATCCTTGATAATATCACAACATTGAGTCCTAAATTAGGGCATCGTTCCCATAGTTTAACACATGTCCTTTTCACAAATTTGGAGCATATCCAATTTCAGAAAAACACGAGGAAGTAATGCCCTATAGTGAGTTAAAGACCCATACTGAAGTTTAGCATTCATCATCAACACACCCTAGCGCAATCCAAACTTCCAACTACATCGAGAGAGGCCATATTCAACAGAAGATAGTTCAAACTTCATATGATCATCTAAATTTGATCATCCATTGTAGAAACTCCTGAGTTTGGAGGATTACATCCATACAAACATGGTTCAAGCACAGCAATAGATTATATTCATTCTAATCACATGTAGTACTGTAGAATTGCATTTCAGATCTGCATTTTAACTGCCAATGGCAGAATTTTTTTCATTTTTGCAACGTAGTACATAAACTATGGTACCTTGCTAAGTTGTTAGCATTGCACCTCAGTAACAAAATAACTTTGCCATGTCTCATTAGGAAGAATCAATCCCAAAACATCTCATTTTACCTACTAACAATTCATTCTGTTAAGGAAAGGCGGAAAGCATTTGGACCAAATACTAGGGGGTGCATGATACACCTAAGTATAGCCATGAACAATTTCAGTGCAATAACCAACACAGGTGCAAACCATCCATAGTGTATAGCATGTTCGCCGTCATGCAACAATTAACAAAGATTATACAGTGTAAGTTATCCAGTGAAACAGCAACAAGGATACAGTGTTCAATCTGATGTCCATCAATTTCTGGAATCTCATGACAAACATCTCAGTACAGACTCCCTTATTGAACCGACACAAGCATGAAATCAGAAAAATCTAGAGTTCAGCGTGATCTGACCAGCGGATCACTCGGCATCGGCGTCACCGCCGCCGGAGACAGCGGCGGCGGCGGCGGCGAGCTCCTGCTGCTGAAGGCGCTCGAGCGCCTTCTCGTGCGCCCAGGTCTCGATTGTGAGGTCGGGCTTGGCGTTGAGGCCGACGCCGAGGATGACGACGGTGAGGAAGGAGGTGATGTAGCAGGGCAGCTCCCAGTCCTCCCACTTCCGCGACTCCCCCGGCGGCGGCGGCGGGCGGTTGAAGAGGTACCCCTTGGGTCGCTCCTCGTGTCCCGGCGTCGTCCACCGCCCCGCACCCTCGCCGCCACCGCGCACGCGGGATGCGGAGCGGAGCCGCGCGCGTAGCATGCCTCCCGCCGCCGCCGAGGCCGTCGAGATCGCCCGCATCGATGCCGCCGGTGGAGCGCGTCGCCTGTGAGATTGGGGAATGGAGAAGCTGTGCTGTGGGAGTGGGAGACGGAGACGGGGGAGGAGAAAGGCTGGAGCTGGACTGGACTGGGCTGCACTGGGAGCTTGAAGACGTGAGCTTTAGGAACGAATTGGGCTGGGCCGATATGAAATGGGCTACCGATTTTAGCATTTCAGTAGAGTTCAGAAGAAAAAAGAAACACTTTGGCATGGTCACTCGTTTAAAAATGTTTGTTGTTTTAATTTTCTACAAAAATTGAAATTTTATAACTACGGTAAAATTTGTAAAAAAAAATATTAGTAACATTTCCTTAAAATAAATGCATATCAGGATATATTCCATGATTGATTTAACAAACTAATTTAATGCTATAGTATATAGCTGCGCAGGAGTTATGATGTCTAAAATTTGTAACCTTTGGTCAACTATTTATCTACAAATATTCAGATATACTCACGAAATCAGCAGTCAAAGTATAAACCGTTAAAGACCATGCCAAGCTAAACCCCATCTTATACTTGAAATAGAGGGAGTATAGTGTGTGTAATAACTCCGGCAACGGTGGTCCATAGTAAGTATGTCTTGGGCTCTTGGCTCTACCACTGAAGAGAGTAAATGATGTTACAAAGAAAAGAACTGACCTGAACCGCAAGAAAGCGGAAGAAAGCAAATGCATGTACCCACGGTGCTACACCGTATTCAGTCTGATGACCGTGCTGTTGGTCGTTGAGACCTGCCTGGAATTGGAGTGTGTTTGATGGGACGTGATTCCCGATCTTTCGTTGATGATAACTATCGTTTTAGGTGGAGCACGACACATCGATCCGGTTTCAAATCGAAAGACCCGAACACTACAATCTTAGTACCACAACTCCTCTGGTTATCAACCGTGTCATCAATCCGGTTAACCTCGCCAGGAAGGCTAATTCCTGCCTGCGAAACGAAGAACACAAGCAAGAACTCGAAAGCACGTAGCTCAAAGTATGAGACAAACTACAGATGTATGATTAAGTTCTCAAAGTGGGGTCTCACAAACCGATGAACGGCAACTGTCAACGGACAGAATGATCTAAGCAAAACCTAAAACCTAACGACGGCGGCGGTGAATGGTTATAAAGGTCTTAGGGTCGTCGTCTACCCTGGACGCGCCCCCTTAACGGGCTCAAAGACGATACACGGCCCATTGGACCAAATACGGTGGCGCAGCACCCTGACAGATTTTGGACGTCAACTTGTTTCAACGATTTCTGTTGATTCTGAAGGGATTTTGATGTGAGACCACTTCCATTGGTTTCCTTATCAAATTATCTTTCCATCCATATGTGGATTGTCGAAAACGGAGTCCAGATGCATCCTGAGTGACCAGTTTATGGCAGACTGATCCTGGAGGCCGAGGCAGATTCAAAGTCGTGTTGGACCGGATCTCCGGCTTGTGTTGGACGTCTTTGCTGGTCATCTTTGCCTCCATTTCTTCCTCCAAGTTTCTCATGACCCTCTCTAATGTTCCTAAGAAATATAACATCATTAGGTAGTAATCTATTCTTAAAAGTATGAAAATAATCGCTTAAGAACGAGCTTACCTCTAAATTTAAGCCCCCTTTGGCACGGCTCATCCAAAACGGCTTCACCGGTGAAGCCAAAGCCGGTGAAGCCAGAAAAACTGGCTTTTCCCGGCTTCTAGTTTATTTTAACCCCGGCTTACAAAACGGCTTCACGCTACAGTGCCTCGATTTGCACAAAATAGATGAAGCCGAAGTCGGCATAAGCCGTGCCAAAGAGACACTTAGGCCAGTCTCAATGGGGGTTTCGTGGGTGTATCATGCACATTAATTAGATGACACATCAGCAAGAAAATGAATCTTTGCATGATTTTAGGAGGAGAGAGAGGGAATACGTTTCATGGCCACGACACGTTTGGGCACCGTTACTAAGTCCTCGGTAACTGAATGAAACTCGCGTTGAGGGGCGTCCGGCGTTTCATCCTCATCCCGTGCGGCCGGGCTCCCGACGGCGCGCCCTTCTCGCCCCCTCCCGCCCTTTCCCCAATCTTCCCACCCCCTCCCGCCACCCTCCAGTCGTTCCCGCCCCTCTCCTCCTCCTCCGTGGATAGGTTCGCCCCGACATCGCTGCGCTTAGGGTTTCAAATCGGCGAACAACGCATTTGCTCCGATGGCACCAGCGGAGAGATCCGGCAGCGCACCTCCACGAGTGGGGGAAAAGGCGAAGCGGTAGCCGTCTGGGGACTGAAGAAGTCGTCCTCATTGCGTCGTCGTGGCCTCCAACTTCATCATTTGCCGCCGCCGCCACGCGCCTTCCTCGAGGTCTTGGGTGCCGCCACCGATCCCACGCCACCTTGTGGTTTCCTCCCCGCTATCTTGAGTTCTTCCCCCGCTCTCATGTTCGTAAATCGTGATGATGCATGCCCATGTATGAGTAGGATGGGGGGCCGTACCCCCAATTTTTTCCTCTGAACCTGGAAACCAACAATCCCCAAATTCATGGTAAGCACTTGATTTCGATCTGTGTATTCCCAAATTCATGGTTGTAGGTAGTTGATTTGTACTCGTTGGAAGTTGATAGCCGCAAGATTGTTCATCATGATATTGAAGATTGTTTAATCTGAGTTGATTTTATAGTTGATCTTAGCATAGAAAGGTTCAGCTCTATTATGGATAGTGTTAATGATAGTGTGAAAACTTCGGGGTCTATCCACCAGGTGGTTTTATGAATTTTCTTCAACAACCACACTATCCACAGTAGCCACAAATTCAAGGTGAAAATTTTCATTTGGTTGGACAGCCTATGGGCTTCAACCCGATATCACCACCACCAAGTGCCCTGTGGAGCACCCCAAAGCTGTGAAACAAGGTACTTCAACAAAGGAGACGGTGAACATTGACATTGATGAAGATGACAACAATGAGGCAAATAGGCAAGTAAAGAAGAGATACTGGAGTCATGAAGAGGAAGAGAGACTGGTATAATACTTAATTTTGTAGGCCAGTGTTGTCGATAATACTTGATTTGTTCATCTTATATCAATATTTTGTATTTTGTAGGCCCGATTGCTTGGTTGAATGCTTCTAAAGACCCAATTAAGGGAAATGACAAGAGAGGTGACACATTTTGGAAGGAAGTCAGCGATGATTTTAACAAGAAAGGGAATGGGAAGCGTAGAAGGAAATAAACCAATCAAGGTTCACTGGTCACGCCTCAAGTCATCGATCACCGATTTCAATGACTATTGGAGTAAGGTAACTCAAATGCATACAAGCCGGATACTCCAACGACATCTTTGGAAGATGAGGCACAAAAGATGTATGCAAACATGTTTGGAAAGCCTTTTTCGTTGGTGCATTGGTGGAAGATACTAAAAACGAGCCCAAATGGTGTGCACTTGATTGAGGAGACAGAGAGAAAAACAAGAGTGAGATAGTTGATGTTCTAGATGAACAATCACGCCCCATTGGTAGAGAAGCGACAAAGGCACGTGGCGTAGTGGAAGGCGCAAGAAGGACAATGTTATGGAAGGAATTGTCATCCTTGGGGACAATATTGAGAAAATTATCAAGGTGCTTGACAAGATCGGAAGGTGGAGCGGGAAAAGGTCACGAAGCATAGATTCGGATATCAAATGCAAATTTGAGGGCAGCAAAGGAGCAAAAAGAAGCAAAGATGTTTGAGGTCTATAATTTCCACGCTTAATCAAGACATAAGTCACATGTCCGAAGATCAAAAGGCTAGCCGAGGCAGGTGGCAATCGCAAGATAGAAGAAAAGTTGTTTGCAAACTAAGGTTAGTTCTGAATCGCTCACATCATGTGTAAATCTTTGCATCATGTGCACTATATTAATTAGATGTGAAAACTACTCATATCATGTGTAAAAATTTTTACTATATACTATGGCGGTTTGTAGTGTGAATGTTGCATTATCTACTATGGCGGTTTCACTTTAGGTGTGAAAGCTTGCTCATATCATGTGTAAATCTTTGCACTATATACTATGGCGGTTTGTAGTGTGAATGTTGCATTATCTACTATGGCAGTTTCACTTTAGGTGTGAAAACTGCTCAGTTTCACATTAGGTGTGAAAACTGCTCAGTGTGCACCTATATATACACCATCCTCTCTTTTATGGCTGCCCTGTGCACCTATATATACACCATCCTCTCTTTTCCTTAACACACACGAAGGTCTTCTCTCTTCCTCATTCTTCTTCCATCTTGTTCTACAGCTTTGAGGTGATCTTAATATCTTTAAACTTTCTATCTTATTTTTCTTATTACTGTACTCTCTCACCTTTCCTTTTTCTCATCTGCAAAGATGTCTGAGGAACATGACAATCCTGATGAAAGTCAAAATCCTCTGTACTCGTTGGATGAGTTCATTGCTGAGGATGAGATCCTAGATGATGTTATCAGTGAAGCCACGGTGGTCATTCAGTCTACTGTCGAAGCTCTGCAGAAACAGGCAGCTGACCATCGATTGCATCCGAGGAAGCACATCAAGAGACCACGAGAGGAAGCACATCAAAAACTAGTGAATGATTATTTCTCAGAAAATCCTCTTTATCCTTCCAATATTTTTTGCCGAAGATTTCGTATGTCTAGGCCTCTTTTCCTAAGCATCGTCGAGGCCTTAGGCCAAAATTCTGATTATTTTACTCAAAGGGTGGATGCCGTTAATAGGCAAGGGCTCAGTCCACTACAGAAGTGTATTGTAGCTATTCGCCAATTGGCTAGTGGTAGTGCTGCAGATGAACTAGATGAGTACTTGAAGATTGGAGAGACTACTGCAATGGAGTCGATGAAGAATTTTGTCAAAGGTGTTAGAGATGTATTTGGTGGACAGTATTTGAGGCGCCCCAATATGGAAGATCTTGGCGTCTACTCAAAATTGGTGAGAAACGAGGTTTTCTTGGTATGTTCAAGAAGATTGATCGCATGCATTGGCAATGGGAAAGATGCCCAAATGCAT